CGGTTTTTGTTCCTCTTAATTCTTTAGGATTTATACCGGCATAAATAATAGCTTCGTAGGTGTTTTCAAGCAATATCTTGCACATAAGATCAGTGGCGTGTGCTTCAAAAGATGTCATATTGAAAAATTGCGCGTCGAACTTCTGTTTATGTGTTGCGAGCCACACGGTACATCCGTGATACGTGCGACATATTGTCGTTCGCGAGAGGCGACTGTCTGCGATTAGCTGACAACATCGTGTCGGCTGTTGCTAGGCACGCGCATTATTTTCCTTTTAATGTATTGATATTTTCGTGCTTTAGAAACGCGAGATTAAAGAGAAAGCGAAACATCATCGGGAGCTTCTGAACCCGATTCAGTACGTTTCTGCATAGCTTGTGACAGGACGTATTCGTGATCGTGCTACGCGTTGTCGATTGCTCGTCGTCAATCGCAATTTACCCATTGAAATACTTTTTTNGCGGTATTTACAAAGTTTACCGAGTGTTATTGAATTTGCGTTCACACTTTAAGTTCTTGTTAACGTTTCTGAAAGTGAGTGCGTTGCGGAACTCTCACGCGTGTGTTGTGCCCTTTCAAGGAAGCAATAAAATTGAAGACTCATTGTGTTATTATTAATGCGCCGTTGTGCTATTTTGAATTGAACTTTACGCTCACAAGAGACTCTTGTTCACGTGCGCACATTATGGTTAATATGTCCCGATCGAGCAAGAATATCGTAATGAACTGTTAAATTTCCGGACATTTACTTTATTATACTTAGTATATAATTGATTGAATTTTTCAAAAGAGACAGCAGAGGATTAATATTTTCTCTTTGGAATTTTGATGCGAATAGTGATTGTATATTACCATTATTCCATCGTCGACTATCATCGGAACCTAGGTCCATTTTGTTCAAAAGATTTTCTTGTAGTTGCTTTATATTATCAGAATTGGGAAACTGTCCTGAAATGAGAGGTCACTATTTCCTCCTCTGGAGGGACTTTGACATATAGATTGAACCATTTGCTGCTTTCCACACTGCAGGCTCGCTAAAATAATAATAACTTGATTTAAACTGGAAAGAGAAGGACTTTCAAATTTTTCCGGCAGGATGAGTATAACGGTCCAAATGATCATCAAATGAACTTGCAATTTTATTTTTCAGACAAATTTTGCACTTGAGAAATGTATTAAAAACTTATATCGGTAATAATTACGAATGCGAAAAAATTGTCCTTTTCCTAGCTTTCAAATTGTTAAAATAAAATTTGATAACCATTTCAATTATCCATTTTGTATCATTTTTTAATAACAGCAAGTACAAACCTCAGGTGAATGCTTTATCCTGTTAAATGGACTGTTATAACGTGAATGCTAACGAAACTTATCTATGGGCATTTATGTATGGATTTCGATATGATTAACATAATGCAAATCAAATTCGCATTTATATTTATTTAATTAATCGTCGTTTTATTATACAAATTTTCTTTGTTTTGCTAACTCAATTTCCTGTTATTTCTCATCCACATTCGTTTTTCCTCCCTCCCTCTCTCTCTCTCTCTCTCTCCCTCTCTCTAGTTTATTTTATTGTCGCTTATACTTCGCTGAAGT